AATGACAGACATGGGCTGTCAAGAAAAATGAAGATATTCATAAGTAACTAAGCATATGGCTACTAGGTCTGTATTACATTTCATTTCATCTTCACAGAATTACCCCTTCTCCCTGTGAGACAGGCAAGGACTGGGTTAGTGTTGCACAGGGGAGCTCACATCTACGCAATCGCCAGAGTATTCTCAGCTGCAATACGCCGACCTGCAACGTCGCAGATGAAATGATTATTTTTGCTGTCAGCCCCCTTCCTGCTATATTAAAATTCAATTTTATGTTGTAACTTTCCCTATGGACATGTTTTGTTATTTGTTTCCAAGACGTGACAGAAACATTCATGTGCTTCTAGCAACTGCTGAAACCAAAGAGAAAGAGCTTATATATTAACAGCAGCATGCTATAGTATAATAAACTCCTTACTTCTTTTGCTACAATATATGAGCATCTGTAGCAGTTTCAAAGCCCAGATATATACTCTTCTATTAAATACCATTCTGTGTGCCAAACCTTTTACTTCCATTGTATTAAAGCATGAGTGAGCAATTTTCTTTCTTTTTTTTTTTTTTTTTTTTTTTTTTTTTTTTTTTTTTTTTTAGGACTACTAAAAGCACCAGCAGTAAATGAAGCCCAAGGTGACCAAGGTCCTGCAAGTTCAGAAGAGTTGCCATTTTCCATTACCATCAAGATGTGCAGTTAGAGTGCTGGGAAATCTCTTAAGTGATGATTCTCTTGAGAACAGGTGAGAGTCCTAAACTTTGCAGCAATTCAAGGGAAGTCTGTCTCATCAAGCTGCAAGAATCATCGATGCTATTTTGACTGTGTTACCTCAGTATCTGAAGGGAGATAACACAGTCATTGCATTGAAAATGTCTTGGCATCTAGAGAATTTTTTTTTAGAAAAGAATCGTGAAAGAGGGTTAAATCATCTGCCTCTTTCTGGAATTATCTACATTGCCCACGGTTTTTGATGTTTCTGATCAGGCATGGTTTTTGACTTTGATCTGCAAGCTCAGAAAGGCAGACTTGGAATAGTGCATCTGTAGATTTCCATCCTCTCCTAACCCAGATCTTTGCACAGCAGATTAGAGCTGCGTAGCAGGGCTGTCAGCTTTAATGTGACAGCTCAGTTCGCCTGCATTTATTCCAAAAACAGTGCCACTGGTTCATTCCCCACAGCTTCAAGATTGGATTATACCAACTCTGCACCTCCTATATATTTTGATGTCTTTTATGACAAGTATACCATCTAAACATACAACTTTCTGAACTCCAGGCTTGTTTATTTTATAATCATACAGCATGATATTTAACATAGTGTATTGAATATTACGGATGTTTAAGTTTGCATTTCAGATTAGCCATTTTCATCCAAACCTTATGAATGATGTATTTTACTTACTTTATTATTTTAAAGACTGGTTGTGGGGATCATTTCTTCATTTGGTACCTTCAGTATTCTGGCAGTCTTTATATGAATCTAATAAAGGAATTATCCCCCACTGAATCAATGAGTCAGTGGAAGAGGTTGCTGCTATGTATCCTTGCTTAGTCAAGGGCAGAAAACTGCTCCCACTCTTTCCCATTAAAACACAGTCAAATTTATATTGGCCCCTACATTTATTATACTTGCCTGTGAGCAACCGTTACTAATTCACCATAAATTCAGCAAAAACCTAAATAAGATGGTAATTCATGCAACATTTCCCATCACATTTCTGAAAGTTTTCATAAGTGCTGTTGGCTTATTTTGTCTGTCCTTAATTCCAATATAATAAATCTAAAATACCTGCATGACATGCTTTATGGACTTCAGTAAGCCAATTAATTGTTCTCTACAAAAACAAACAAACAAAAAAAAACCCCAAACCAAAAAACCAAGTAAAACCAACCACAGAGAATTTAAATATCTCCCATGAGAAGCAAATACTCACCCCTGAGGTGATCATGCATTTGGACTAGATGATTATTGTCTTTTCCAAATGAGCATTTCTTGTCTCTTCCTCTTCTCTAATATCAGAAACTTTCTGGGTTTAATATTTAATTTTCTTTTTTTACTGCTTTTGATGAAGTTTCCCTCTTTTATATTTTTTCCTGTACTATTCCTTTATTCTCCTCTTATATGAAGGCAAAGTACCTTTCATGGTCAATGAATGAGCAGGTCCAGCCCTGGCAATACACCTCCCTGGACAATGGGCTCTATATATTCACTTCCATGACCATGATGAAAACAATTCCTGAAGAGGACTATAAAACAATAGAATTCTACAACCATGCTATTTATGGAAGTGTCTTATTATTTTATGTTTGGACATCACCTTGGTTACTGAAAATTATTTTAATTCAGCTAGAAAATGCTCATTTGTAAAGGGGAAGAGTGTTAGTCTACCATGTTCCTAAGAGCTTGCTTTAGATCTGAGCAGGGAAAATATTTACTTCATTTGATATAAAGTACCAAAAATAATTCATTTATTGGCTTTCAAATGAAGATTGTAAATGAAACTCTTAACTGTTATTTTTCTCTTATTTTATCATTCAACTCACTTCAACATAAATTCCTGAGGATTTAACACTTCCATGAAACCATTGTTGAATATTTATTGCTTCATTCTCAATGGTATCTTTTTAAAGTAGTGGAATTACTATTAATTTTATTTTATTGGTTTGTCACTGATTTTCATTTTGGCAGTGAGTTTCTGCCTCGGCAACTGCCTGTGTTTCAAAAATTCATTCTTTGGATATATTCTGCACCTTCTCCAAAGGCAGCTGGAATAATCAGCCCAACTCAAAAGATGTAAAGAGAGGTCTGAGAGAACAAACCATAATGAAAATGAGAACAAAAAAGGAAAAAAGTTCATAAAGTATAATCCAGTCTTCAGTTTCAAGTCTGTTCATTTTCATTTACAAATATGGAGCATAATCCAGTGTCAGCTCTTGTACAGGACTGCATGACAGAGACCTGTGCTTCCCCAAAGCATGAGCACAGGCAGATGTGTTAACAGCACAAACTGGTATGTGTGGCACGTTACTGAATGTGCCAAAAAACAAGCTCTGGGGGAAAACTCACAGGAGACTAACAGACTCAGGTAAGTTAAACATTATTTTAATGTGCCTATTAGATCTACATAGTCTAAATAATGAGAACACTAAGTAATAGCCACTTTGACTATAGTGAATAAAGAAAGGAGAGATGCTCTTTTGACATATGAGAGAGTAGCAAAGTCATCCATGAGTATGATATAGTATCAAGATCAGATATTTAAAACATGAGTGGGAAATAGGAGAACATAATCTTAAAGAAAAAAAAGTGGGAATAAAAAGTCAAGTTAGATAACCCCACTCATTTTCTGCACTTCTAAATCAATGCAGAATTTGTCAGTGTGGAATTGCATCAGCAAAGATAATTACCTAGGGAAACAATATGATTGCTTTATGTCACTCAAGGGCTATACATATTTCATGCTAATAAAAGATATTATTTTGGCATAAAAAATATGTACAATAAAATGCAAAACCACCAAAAATTAAGAGCAAGGATGCTATGTTTAGTAGCAGCTTACATTTAGTGCTTACCCCTTTGTGTTCAAATACCAAGTAATGATTCTACAAAAAACTTACTTGAAAGCAACAGAAAGTGACAGAAAGAATCTCTCCAGAAAGAGATATTGGATTCACAGGCTGATGTGCTTACTGTTTTGAAAGCACAACATTCATTTGGACATTTAGGATTCAACAAATACAACTTATTCAGGTTTTTTTTTTTTAATAGATGTCTAGCACTTTGCAATTTGTCCCTGTTTTCTCTATGTGCTTATGTCATCAGCTTTATATTTCAATAACTCTACAGGGAAATCTCCCTGAGTACAATTTGATACAGGGACTTGAGGTCCAAATATATATATTATTACATATAATATAATTATGCTGTGGGAAACTACCTGTAGAAAAGGCTCCCTTTAAATGAAATGGGTGACAATTTCACCACTGGAGGGGCATTTCCAGCTTCCAGTAGTCAAATGGAAAAAGTTTGTTCCCTTAAGGAAAGTGAAGGGGAAATAGTACAAATATGTTATTTACCTGATGTTTTATATCAAACATTGTTATTTGGCCTTTTTTAAGATTAGCAACCTCCTGGACTGTTTCCAAGGGAGCAAGAGGCTACGTAGCAAAAGAGAAGACTTCCTTAGGCAGAGTCATCCCTTTCTGCAAAAGCACCTATCATTTGCAGACCAGCAGACAATATTATGGCTTCTTATCCCATCAAAAGAAGCTTGCCCCCAACAGATACACTCAGGAGTAGAGAAGAATGTGACTTTCCCTTTCACGACCCCTGTCTGTGCTGTGTATGCTAAAGGCTACAGGGAGGACCCAGATATCAGACGACAGTTCAGCTGGGATTTTTCCAACATTTTTCTCCCTGTTTTAGGAGGATTGCTTCACAGTATCTAAAACTGCCTGGCATAATATACAGTGCTCTCTGGCAAATAGTAAAGGGTAGCATAACCACAGCGTCTGACTTTCTTCTCTTTACAACAATGTAAATCAAGATGACCACCACTGGAATTCAAAAATGCACTTTTACAAAACTGGTATAAGAGCATTGCCAGGCCCTCTTTGGTGATGCTTGGGAACAAACTGCCTAACACAGCCACTATGACTAATCCTCTGCACTGGCTGTGCAGAGAAGAACCTGACTACGCTTGGTAGTGAGGGAAATCACATCACCCACTGCTGTCTTGTACCAGCAGCACTGACTGACATGTGGCAGCACATTACATGGTCACATGGTCGAGTGGCTGCTGTCCCCAGTCATCCTGGCTGACAGATGCTGCCACCGCTGAGTAAAGACACTTGATCCCCTCATGAATCCTCTCCTGAACTGCCATGGCTTTCAGCCCAGGATGCTGAAAGCTCATTTTACCTTAGAAGAGAGGGCTGAAGCCTGCAGTGGTTCAGGATTGGACCTACAGTGAGATCTGATGGATCTGCCTTCCAGGATACTCACCCCTCTCAAGAGGGCGAGGCAGCCAATTGGAAGCAAAACCAGGTCTAGTCACACAGGTTTCATTCATATCCACACAGCTGTCAGAGCCCTGAGATACTAGAACAGAAGCAGTGCTTGCAGTTAGAGAAGGCACTGTATTGAACAGTTTCACTATTTGATTTCTGTCTTCAACCATGCATATTTAATATTCTCTTAATGCACTTGCTTTGCGAGCATTTTCAGCTGGATTATATTTTTAAAGACAAATTCTGAAGAGCTGTCATGCAAACTCACAGGCTTGCAGTCACCCAAACTGGTCCAAACCTTGAGGAGGGGATGCTCTCCATGTAGGAGTGAATGCAGAGAGAAATCATAGACTTGGATAAATCCATGCAGAATGATAGGTTTCATACATTCATTTTGGTGTACACATTTAGATAGGTGGGTATGATTTCCAATACTTTAAGTACAAGGCTCAAACAGTAATGTGATTAGAAAATGAAGCATGGATAGAAAATAATAAAGATAATTACTGATAGCCCCTCTGCAAACATACTCGGAGGACAGGACCATAACATGCCTTCTCCAGAGATTTTAGCTCTGGATAATGAAGCTAGTTTTTTGGATCATTATGCAAGGGATAACTATGCAAGGGAAAATTTCAGAGGCACCTCAGTATCGTAGCAAATGCATCACATGATTTATTAATTACAATAGGATTAATCAAAACTATGTAAGAAAAGTGAAGGACATGCACAACTCTTCTAAAGATACACATTCTTGTAGGGTTAGGTAAGGTACATTTGACTTACTACTTGCTTACCTATTATGTACTAAGACATTCCAATATTTTCACTTCAAGTTTTGACCTGCTGTGAGAATAAACACTGAGCTTTAATTGCAGTATTTTGTTGCAAAGTTAAACATTGTTTATGAACACTTACAGTTGTTTTAAGTGTTGATAGCATAATACAAAGCTATTACTAAGAAATGTGTGTTGAAAGTCTTATTTCACTGTCACATTTCACAGCCTGGTGAAATGTGTCTAGAAGACAGAAGCTAAAAAAGCTGCAGTTATGCCTACATGTGTAGCCATGTGTACACACACATTCCATAAATACGTTTTGTCTCTGCCAAAGGGTTTTCTTCCTAATAGCTTGTTAAAGAAGATAAAATTCATCGCAGAACAGAGAACCATAAGACTTTGTGCTACTTACTTCCCAGTTCAGCTGTTTTTTGGCTTACTTCAAAATTAAAAGCTATCCAGTCCTTATGCCCCTTTCCACAGTGATTAACGTAAAGCAAAACAGAGGCAAGAAAATCTATGTGTCTGTGGTACCAGTGAACTGTTCTCCTTTTGTGAGAATATGACCTAAAATAATTTTCTAGTGTGTGTGGTGTTTAACCAATATTAGACTTGTCCCTGTTGCATGACTAGTTAAGTAGAACTGGATAAAACCTCTTTGGTCAATACGGAGAGCACTTCACACATCAGCTATGGAGCATTCAATGCAAGCACACGGAAGGGCATTTCCTGTCATTGATCAACAATAATTCCTGGCATTTAGAAGGCATCTTTAATCAGAGAGATAAAATTGCTCTGCAATGGTAATAAATTCCCAGATTACCCCCCTGAATGAGATGACGAAGTTTTTGATTTACAAGTGACAAAAGTAAATCACAGAGAAGTGAAATACTTGCTCAAGGTCAGATAGCAAATTTTTTTTCAGAGTCCAGAAAAACATTTAACCTTACAGCCTTTTAGATTTGTGGGAAAAAGGAGTAAACTTTGTTACTGTAGCAGATTGCTGGGTTTGTATCTGCCATTCGCTTACTCTGCACAGACCATAACTTCTCTGCAATGACAATGCAAAACAATGAAGAATCATGTTTCCATGCAATTATGTTAGATTATATGTAGATTAGGAAAGGACAAGGAATGTTTGAAGTGTGGAAAACTTTTTAAACTTCTGAACCACTGCTAGCTTTTGAATGAGGAGCTCTTATGCTGTGTGCTAATTGCACAGTAGCACAATCCCGTATTCTAGTTCTGCTGTTACTTGGCAGTAGAAAGGACACTCATTCTGAAGAAAGATATAATAGGCTGCACATGAACTATACTCACAGATGAGGCCCCAGTTTAAACAGCAAAAATTCTCAATACAGATATATCTGGGAACAGAATTGGTTTGCAAATGTGGAGATCTGTGAATAACAGGCTATAAATACCTAGAGAGCTGTCAGAGTATTTGTTTACAATCCAGTTCAGAGCTATGGGACAAAGCATAACTTCAGAGTTGCAAGGAAAAATAATCTGCATAGTGAAAATACTATAAAGATTTTTAGTTATTTTATCACCCTTGCTTTTATTATAAATAGGAGTGATGAACTGTCATGATTAATAGGATTTCTATTTCTGGAGGCTTTAGGGGGTTGAAAACCCTCTTCCTCATGCAAATCAAATTGCAAATTATATCTAAGCCCCAGTACATTTAATAATATAGAGAGTTAAAAAAAGATCCTCTCCTGTATACTCTGTGTCTTGTTCTGCTCTTTTAGCACTTCAGTCCTTATGGTTTCAAATTTGTGCTTTGAGACCTGTTTCACACCCCCGGTTTCTAAATCTTATGTCATTCTTCTTCACAATTTCGAATTTAAATAGGGAAAAAAATACATTTATGGTTTAACATTTTAATAATGCTGCAGTCAGATTTTATTAGTGCTTCTCTGTTACATTTTGCATGAGATAGGAAAGAGTAATGAAGAGAATATCATTGTAGGGTTTTAGGCTTATGAGCTTAATGTATTATGATACAACAAAATGTATTATCTAAAGGTCCCTTTCTCACAAAGGCAAATGAGACCACCATAGATATAGAAATATAAAGCAGCAGTCAAACCAGCAATAATATTCTGTAATTGCAAAACCATTTTTGATTAAAATGTAATTTGTTAAGAAAAAAAATTAAAAATAATGAAATAAAACGCTTTAGGATTCCTGATCTTGGCTGTATGGGAATTACACAGCCTGTGAGAACAGAAATGACCAGCTAAACAGAACCAAGCCTATTTTGTAACTTGTCCCCAAATCCGCAGCCATCTGGGCAGTGCTCGTGTGTTGGGATGCGAGGAACCAGCGGCCCAGTAGGGCACAAATGGTTGGAAGGAATTGCTTCCTCAGGAAATCCTCAGGGCTGCTGGGGGGTTTCAAACATTCCTGCAGCTGAGAGCAAAAACCTAATTAAAACTTTCTTGCTTTCTTCCTATGCTCTCTTTGCTACCCTAGCAGGCATGAAGATAACTCCCAAGTTAAAATGGATAGACATTGCTTAGTATGGAACCAAATCTACATTAAAAGTAGAAAGTGAAGGGCTCTCTTTTCACTCGCATTCCAACTTGTAATGAACCTTACTCCTTATTAGGAGTATTTCCGCAAACCCATGCTATACTAAATACTGACTCCAGGAGAGCCGATAGAGGTACCCCCATAAATAGGGAGGTGCATATACCCATAAGCAAGTACCACAGCTAAAGCACGGGCCGTGTGTCCCTTCAGCAATAAACACTCCGTACCTACAGCTCACCGCACACCGCCACGGCCCTGCCGCGCGCGGCCCCTCAGAGGAAGCGGCGGCGCGCGGGGGCGCCGCGGGCACGCGCACTACCCGGCATGCAGCGGGCGCGGGGCTCGCAGGAAGATGGCGGCGCCGCTGGAGGAGTACGAGAAGGAGGCGGGCTGCGTCCCCATCCTGCACCCGGAGGTGCGAGCGGCCCGCCAGAAGAG